GGGTACGGGGGTGTTGGAGGGGTTATGAGGGTATTTGGGGCAGGTATGGGGGTGTTGGTAGGGTTATTAGGGGTTCTGGACCAGAACAAAATAAATCAAAAAAAAAAAAAAAAATTGCGGGGTGCCGACGACCCCCGACTGGTAGGTGCCGACCAGCCAACTGGTCGGCTGGTCGGCATCCGACCAGTTAAGCCCCCCGACGGTCGGGGTGTGCAACACTGCTGTGAGGGGAGAAAAAAAAAATTACCTATGACTGGAGTGGACACTCTTGAATGTTGACCTCCATGATGTTGACCTTCAAAATGTTGACCTTCATGATTTCTCTTTTTCTCTCTCTTTTTTTTTTTTTGTTTCTTCGTCTCTATCTTGTCTTTTCGCTAAGGTCTCAAATCTAACACAGATCCCCAGGTGGTATCTAGCATGTCCATGTCCCAAGGACTCGAAACAGAAAAAGCAGCCGGTAATTTAATGGGTTGTGTGTGGTGGTGGTGGAGGTTCTTTGTGGGGTAGATGGGTGTGGGAAGGAGGGGAGGGGAGGGGAGGGGAGGGATCAGATGCGGAAGTGCGCCTGACTGCCACCTGGGAAAAGCATATCACTCATTTTCTTTGACATGCTTACTAAGCACTGGTACACGCCCCAATATCCGTCAAGCCAGTTGATGTCTTCATGAAAACGAATCGGCCCTCCCAACCTTAGATGCTCCGAAAATGACCTTTCAGCAGATCGTAGCGACCTGGTGCCAACTTAGGGTCTGCCCTTGTCCCTTGGATGATATGGATATGGCCCAAAACTGGGATCAGGGACCAGAATTGAGACTGGACGATGTCCTTGGTATCTGTTGATGGCTCTGGCCCAAACCTGAGCCCTCACAGACCTGCAAGGAGAGCGGCAAGACACCATGGCTATTGCATGCATGTGTGAGAAGGAGAGGAGGTAGGGAAGGGAAAGGGCAGAGGTGCGATGAAGGGAAAGACGGACAGGGGAGGGAAAGGAGGCATGGAGGGTGGGAGAGGAGATGTATGATTGGCAAGAGCGGAAAAGATAGGCGGGCTTAAACCACCCCTATCCCCGCCGGCCTAAATTCAGCCTTCCTGGCCTTACGGACCGGGTTTTTAGTGGGGGGCGACCAGCAGGTGCAGGGGGGTCCAGTCACTCAATTTTCAAGTGCCAACTTTGTCGATTTTTCGCACTCAAAAGAACTCGTTAAAAAAATCTGAAAATTTGAGATCTTGTAGATTAGATTGTGATCTTTCACGGAAAATATCAGAATAAATAAATAAAAGCAATTGGACAGTGAAATAAATGCCGCGCTGATTCCTCACAATTTCCATTTTTGCCAGCAATGGAAAAAGTGCCGCAACTTGCACAATTTTTTGCAGTCAGAAAAATGACTCATAAAATCTGAAATTTGGTGGGCCTGTGGATTTGGTCGTCGTCTTCCCAGGAAAAAAAAAAAAGAAAAAAAGTTTAGACCGTGAAATGAATGCCGTGCCGATTTTTCTCATTTTCCATTTTGCTGCTCTACCGCGTGTGGGCCAACGGGAAAGTACCTCAACTTTCAGTGATTTTTCACGATCAAAAGAACGTGTCAAGAAATCGGAAAATTGAAGGGTCCGTAGATTTGGTTGCGGTCTTTCCAGGAAAAATATTTTAAAAATTAGAAAAAATGTTTAGGCCTCAAGATAAATCGCAGCGGCAATTCGCCACGTTTTTCATTTTTGCCACTCCTCTGGTTCTCCCCACTGTGCTACCGGTAGTCCCCTTGAACCTGTGCTAGTGGTCCCCCTCAATTTCGGCCAGCGGGGGGAGTGGTGGTTTAAAAGGTGCTGGATGAGGGAGGAAATGGAGAGGGTGTGGATGACCGTCGAGAGAGGGGAAGAAGAGGCCCCAAAAGTGGTGCAGGAGAAGAAACTGGTATGGGATGACCAAGGTGTGAGGATTGAGCCCTCAACGGGGCCTTGCCGACAAGCGTATGTTCTGGGCATAGGCCCCCAGCAAGCCTCGTGCCTGCCCTAAGTGAAGGCGGGCCAGAATATCCACAAAGAGGCCTTCATTCAGCATTTCCCAAAGTGGGTATCAGACAGTCGCCGCATGCCTGTTGGTTGAAGTGCATCGTGAGCCTCCGACTCCTGCAGAGGCAGTTGAGCCCAGGGCTGGGGTTGGTTGAGCCCTGGGCGACAGTCTGGGAGGCCGTCACAGTATTTTGTCAAAGAGTCCGAGGAAGCCAAGGGGAAACCGGTACGGGGTCTGAATCTGGACAACGGCCCTAGCATAAGCGGCGCAACTGTATTACCTGGGCCCCATCTGCATTGGGCCTGGGTACAGGTACTGGGGCCCAGGCTCAAGGGAGATTGCCCACACGCAACACTGGCATATAGGCAGAACGGGTGAGTGGGCAAGGATCTTGGCCATTGCGAGCAAGGCCGGCACGCTGTTGCATTGCGAGCTGCTGCGCTGCGCTAGGCTGAGAGAAGGCAGGCTGGCGCTAAGCGGTAGGGCGCAGGGCGCCGGCAGCCATAGCCGGGCGGCATGAGAGCGGTGGGGGAGGTGAGGGCGAAGGTGGTTCTTCGGAAGGTGAAGGGCGCTGTGTGGGATAACAAGGAAGAGTGAGGGAAGAGAGAGAGAGACGTACCTGGAAGGAGAGGAGGTGGGCATTGGTGTTGACGTCATCACTCGCTGGTGGTCAAGTAGTCTGGTTGCTTCCATGCTGTAGTCGTAGGATAGGTTGTAGAGTAGATAGGGCGCCCGGCGCCATTCGAAGTGAGAGCTACATTGGGTTCTGATGTTGGTGTGGCCCTTCGGGCTTGGACATTGACTCTCAATTCTGCTGTATCGTTCTCAATGGATGGTTTCTTGGTTCCAATGTGCTATCTGCTCTTTCCTTGACTACATGGACTTCAAGGTGATTTGCAATTTGGATTTATGTACTTCGTTCACACTCATGTTCCTTGCAAATTTGGTATCGGAGCTGGTTCGATTCGCCGCTTACCTTGGTGCGCCGGCGTTATACAGACTTGGTGCGTTGACGATGCTTCTTCGCAGTTGGTTCTTGTGACGTCGGGCCGAATATAGGCGCACGACCTGGGTAGAGAGGTGTGCGCCGAAAGGCTATACGGCTTGGGATGCCGTGGTGACGGCAAAATGTATGTCTGGTGATGAGAGCATGCTGATGTGGCATTTGGTTGAGGTGGCACTGCATTGCGTTGTGGGTGGTACCGAGGCTACGACCGGTCATCAAATGCACATTCGGCTCAATTGGTGAGAAATCTGCAGTTGGGGGCAGCTATCTCCAGGTATGTTGTTCCCTTACCTTACCTACCCTCTCAATCTCTTCCTACCGCGAGGAAGTGAGTCTGACTTGAGAGTCCTCTCTTTTGGTGAAGTGTCGTGAGCGCTCTACCTTGAGAGACGACGATCTTCCTGGTGGCACATCTGGAAGGAGAAAGGGCGGTGCCTCTGAAGGGCCCTGGTCGAAGCATATGGGTCACGGTCACCATGCCAACCCAATGGGATTAGTACACATGCGATGGTTGCTTTGTCCATTGGGGCTCTTTGATGTGCTGATAGAGGGGTGTGCGGACTGAACAGGCTTATGCAGACGCGTCCTAGACCGTCTATAAAGATTTCTGGATGGGGTTCCGATCTGTCCACTGGCTGTGATCGTGGTCCTGTTTGCGATGTTAAATAATTCCTGAGCGACCTTGGGGGCAATCCTTAAATAAGCCTCTTGATCAGCCAGATCAGTCGGACGTACGGCTCGTTGCACGCGAGGATAAATAACGGGCAAGCCTGGTGATAAGCATGCATCTAGGGCACAGGGGTGGGCCGACATTGCACACCTATGAGATTGCTGCTCATTG